TACTGCAAGCTTTTTGGAGCACGGATGGGCCTTTTGTTCAGTGTTGATGTGGAACCCATGGCACAAGGGGCCTGGTTCTACCCTCAGGCTTCTGGGTGAGTCCTAGGACAAGGAAGTACTAAGTGCACAGCTCGGATATGGATGCTTCAGTGAGCTTACTGTAGCAGTGAATTAATTTTGATTTGCCACAGGAGTCTCCATTTAAGGATCAGGGCCCCATCATGCTAGATACCCCAGGCACTGAGTCACTGAGATCAGGGCCCAGTAGCAAAAGGCACTGGTCAGAAACAAAACAAGACACTCCTAGCACCAACAGCTCAAACTGCTTTTAAGATTTCCTATTCAAAAGCCAGGGGGGAGAGGGGGGACGACGAGAGAGTAACACAACCCACATGCAAACAGTGCAGTTGGTGTCCCCACTGGTGGCTAATCCAAGGTAGCAACCTCCACTACCCCAACTAGTCCTCCAGCTCACACTGTTAAGAAGCTGGTACTTGTAGACCCAGAGATCCAGGCTTCAGTCCCTGCATATGACCCATGACAGCACAGCAAGATGACCGGTAGTTGTATTGCTTATAGGGATTGTGCAGTTTGTCTGTAAGCCAACCCTAGCTCTGATCTCCAGGGTTGCTGCCTGCAAGTACTTGACTTGTCATCTTTGGCACTAGCTGGCTTGTCATCTTTGGCCCGCTAGCTCCTAGAGTCAGCTTGGATCCTGCTGCTGGAAGAATAGGAAAGATGTGGAATACCATAAGGTAGCTGTACACAGGTAGGTTCAAAAGGAAGGAACAAGGCTGCACCTTAGCAGCTGGGGAAGTGCTGGGTAATATTTAGCATTAGGGCACTGCAAAGACTGATACAGGTTTCCAGGCTGCAGCAACCTGTGATGAAGTAACACCACAAGTTTTTCCCTTAAATAACTAAGCAGATCACTCTTGAACAGTGGGATTATTAGTCTGAGAAGGGTACATCTTCAGGCAGGCAGTTTAGCTTGGAACACAAAGGCCGGAACACTATCAGCCTTTCCACGGCCAGATGCAGCCTCCAGCAGGGCTAAGCTGGCATATCTCAGTCCCTGTAAGTGCTATAACCTTAAGTCAGAAATGTCAAACAGGACCCAACTTTAGGACCTCAGTGCCCCCAGGAAAAATTTCCCTTTGCCTTTTTTGCTCAAGTCCAAACCATAAAAGCTTTTGATCATTTCAAGGTGTGTTCTGTCTGGAGATGATCCAAAAGCAAAACTAGTAAAATCAAAACACATCTTTTCCCTCTTAAATCTTGCTCTTTTCATTTCATTTTTCTTTTGTTTAAAAAAAAAAATAATCTTGAAGAATCCACACTTTGCTTTCAATTCAGTTGGGCACCTGGGGCAGAGGTTCTTAGAGCAATGGCTCAACCCTATCTATAGGCTGCTCCAAGGTAGATGGGTTGATTATACTCAGGGTAGCGCCCTATTCTCAGACCCACAAGGCTCAGACTCCCTTAGAGGAACTAGAGACATCTGCATTTGAGAATTCCCCCCACCCCTTTCAGTGAAGAGTTTAAATAAAATAGCACTGAAGAGCCCCCAGGATAGAGCATTGCTCAGCATGTGCAGCACTTAGTTCAAAGAGCAGATCCCAACCCTAAAGCTAGTACAATGCATGCACAATAGGAACCAACTTCCTACATTCCAGGGTCTGCCTGCTGCCAGTCCTCCACTCTGCAGTCATGGAAAACTGCATGAGGAAATGTCTCAGCCAAGGAAGGTCTCAGTTGGCCACTCATCACTGCTAGATTAGGGCCATGGACACCAAACCCAGACAGAGCAGAGCAAAACAGCACTCACTTCACAAGGGAAAACTCTTATTGGTAGGGGATACAGCACCACTGTGGGGCAGTAATCACTAAAGGTGACTGTGATATGCATAATTAACCAGCTCAAGACTAAACCCCCATCTTAAAATTGTAGCCTGGGGTAGAAGGAAACGCAGGCCCCATGCTTATATCTCCAGTGGGGGGGGCGGTCTACTGATAGCTTGGTGTGTCTGCAAACCTAGATAGCTTGCAGCTGGTAAACTGACAGCCAGAGGAATTTAACTCCCAGCTGGACTACCTGGCTGCTCCCTTTCCTCCCTCCCCCTCACCCCTCCCTTCTTCCCTGTTTCTGGGCCTGCAGCAGTACTCAGTTCTCCCCAGCACCTCACACAGGCATCAGGCAAGATGGTGTATCACTGAACAAGAGCATCAATCCCAAAAAAGTTTATCATTGGGTGGAGGCAGGGACAAGGAGTTCTCCTGCAGCAATGCAATGAGGTGTTGCACATAACTGGACAGCCTGGTGTAGTTGGTCACACTTCAACAGCGCTCTCATGCTGATGGATCCAGGCTTGACCATATACTAGTGATGCTCAACCTAATCTGGCCCTGCAGGACAGGTAAATGGCATGGAGCTTGTCCATGGTGCAATCTAGTACACCCAGAACCAGCCCTGGACCCTGCTGCAATCTAACATAGTAAATCGCATCATTCAGCCAGCGGAGCTTTTTTTCACCTTGGTCCAGAAATTTGGCAGCAGGGGTTTGGGCAATTAATGCTGCCACTGGTCCCCTGCCACCAAATTTCAAGAGCCATGGGAAAGCCCACAGGTTGGATGACAGTTCCACAGGCTGTATCTAGCCCTCAGTGCTGTTATGTGCTACTACCCTATTATGTTGAGGCAGAAGGTATCAAGCAAACTGGATGACAGATGGGTGTCTGAGCCCTCCAGTTTAAGTGCTGCCTAGAGCTACCCAATGCAGCCCTAGGAGTATCCATTTCTGCAGGGTTGTTTCAACAGGTTTGTTACAAAAAAATTTAATTTCCTTTGATTGCTGAGGCACCTGCCTCACCCCCTGCCCCAGGGGCCCCTTAAGTGCTGCACAACCCTCCTTAAACCACTTTTGCAGCATCTAGTCCAAGTGGTTCCTATCTGAATAATACTTATTTCCTAGAGTATCAGCATAATTAACACTGCTATCCTTTAAGCTTACCCAAGGCTCCAGCCAGCTCAGTTCAAAAGCTCAGTTTAATCACCCCCCAACCTTGGGGGGGTCTTTAAGAAGACCGGACAAACACCTTGCTGGGGTAGTCTGACCCCAGCCATCTTTCCTGCCCAGGGTAGGAGGGCGGACTCAATCTGCCAACATCCCTTCTGAGCCTGAAAACCTATGAAAAGCCCAGGGGCTGAAGATCCAGTTTGGATCTCGCTTTAAAAGCAGCCACTACCATCAAACCTGTACTCTGGACAAACAGCTTGGATCATCTTTGCTGCCAGAAGACCCACACCATTGTTATGTTGTTTCCAAATGGGGCATAGGCACATTCACTCCTCAGACTTTTTTAGATGGATTCTTGTTGGCTATGTTAAGATGGTAGAGAAGTCCTAAACCCAGGGTGCAGGTTCCTGGATGACTTGGAAGTTGACAAAAAAGATCAAGGAACATCAAAAATTGATTAAAATGGCAATGTATTAATATGGAAGAGTAAGGAATAACATCTAGTTATGTGTATGTGTGTTCATGTGTTACTGAATAGATCAAGGAGTAAAACATAGGCAGAACCATGTTTCCAGGGCAGCTTTGTATACATTGTTTTTTTTCAGGTCTTCTGGTCAAACTCCTCTACTGAAGGAGCCTGTCATCCTTATTTGACTGACGCAGATACAGGTGCAAGGGTGCCAAGACCTTTACCCCTCTGGTAGCTGGACTGACCAGCCAACTGACTGAATCAAAAGATGGCAAACCTACAGCAGCTGGATTGGAAAAAGCATCCCTGGAACTGCAACAGTCTTCACCCTAGCAGGAGGGTTTATCTTGTTCCTTGGCTTCAAGGATTAACTTCCTAATAATTCCCTTCTATAGGGAAATAAAGCAATGAGCTAGAACAGACTGGCTGAGTAGACCATTGAAGCATCTACACTGGATCTTGCCTGCTCAGACAACACACTGGCACAAGCTGAAGAAGGTCAAACCATGCCACCTAGATCTACAGGACCTACAAGTTACCAGCCACGGGTCAGCAGGTAGACACCTGGGCTGTTAGCTTTGTTGGGCGAGCAGAGCCACCCCCACTAAAGTGCTGTGAAGTTCTTCAGCTATATCCACAGCATACACAGACCCCAAACCTGCTATTTTTTTCAGTTTAGCTAAAGTCAGCAGCAATTGTTTTTAACAGGCCTTCCAAAAGGAGCATGCACTTACCCACTTCTGCTGTCCTATGTCCCAGAATAGGTATCCTATACCCAGTATGCCCACATACACAATGCCCTGGGAAAAGGTTTGGTTTCAGCCATAACTGATGCAGGAGTTGGGGGAGGGGGAGGGGTGTGTGCACAAAGACATGCAGTTCAATTTCTACAAAAGGAAGTATCCCAGAGATCAAGAAAAAGGCCAGGGTGGCCCCTCACCAGACCAAGAAACATGTCTGAGTGGGGGGGCTCAGTGGGGTAGGACCCTGACAAATGATCAGCTGGGAACATGACAAAGCCCCAGTACAGTCCACTGAGACAGCCTGGCACTACCTGAACAGTCACATAGGCTCATCAAGTTCCAGGGAAGTGCATGCTAGCTGCCCCTTTTTTCCCAGTTTACGCCATGCTTGTCCTGGTGTCAAAACCAGTCTCAGCATAGAATCTTTCCCCACCACCTCACACTGGGAGGTAGGAGACCAGGACTTGGGAGCTCAAACCTGCCCTGAGAAAACCAGGGTTAATCACCAGCTTCTCTCCAACTCCCCTCATGAGTGTAGGAAGCGGAGAGGTGAACTTGCTCCCATCACTAACAGGCCAGTATCAAAAGCCAGGTCTCCATAAGAGCAGCCCTGTGCTCCCCACCATCCTGCATCAGGGACATGGGGGTCTTCAGGCCCTGCTGTAACACAAGTGCATCCCAGCTCTTGCCAGGGGCCCGTGGCCGAGCCAGTCACAGCAGCATTTCCAAAGCTGCTCCACTCAGAGGTAAGGACAAGGTAGCAGGCCAAGCGATACATAAAACCAGTTTTATTCCTTTCTCAGAGAAACACATTTTCCATCGCACAGGTTGCAAACAGTTATTAGGGAGGAGAGAAAAGCAAATCTAAATATACAAGCAAAGCCCCACTTGGGATCCTGTCACACATGTGAGAGGAGAGAGAGACAGACACACACTACCAGGCCAGGGAGTGGCTGCACAGCTGGGACAGGTCCCGGAGTCTGAATGGCAAGTGCTGCCTCAGGTGTCATTTACTAAACCATCAAAAACTACAGCTGCCCCTCCAGAAGCCCTCCCTACGAAAGGCAGGGGCAGCACTTGAGGGGGAGAAGGAGAAGGAAGGAAAAATTAAAGTCACAGAGAAAGTTTGCAACAGCTGGGAACAGTTCTGGGAGGTAGAGACTGACACCCATGCTAGGCAGAGAGGGAAGCTCAGGTTAATGGTCCTGGTCAGGACTGCCTGATTGAAACGTCCCTGCCATTCCCCTTTGTAAGCACCATCTCTGAGCCACCCATTCTCACAAAGCTGAGCACCAGGGCTTGCCCACAGGCCTTGTGCCCAAGGCAAGCTCCCAGGTCAGCCAGGAGACAGAGAAGCAACTCTACTAGGAGATTTAACATGTCCTAGGAGCACAGGCTGTCTCCAGGTCCTGCATCCAAATGAAGTACTGAGTTAAGCTCTGGCTGAGGAAAAGCCCACACCCTGCTTTCCAGTCTCCAAGGGCTGCTCCCCAGCAGGTCCTATAACTTGAGACCTTCCAAGCATGGCCATCTCTTCCCTTCCCCTCACCCCCCCCATTAAACTGATATTTCCTAGGCTAAAAACATCTGGAGAAGGGAGAGGGCCCATGACCCAGCTGGGAGTGACCCTGAAGTATGGGATGCCAACATTCAGATGGGACACCCCAGCAGGAACCAGTGTATGCACAACCCTCCAACCCAGACCATATGATAGGCATTGTGGTAGAGAGGTCTCCTAGGACAGCACTTCATCTGGAGTAAAAGGGGCCTGCCACACCCATGCAGCATCCCGGCTGGGACAGGAGCATTGGCAAGGGGAAAGGCAGCACGGGCTAGGGGAGTCCAAAGGGGGATGCACCCTCCCAGGGCTGGGGAGCTGCTCTGGTCCATGTGGGTGGCAATGACTGCTGAGCAGGATGGCCAAGTCCCCCAGCCATAAGGTGGCCAGTGCCTAAGCATCCTCCTTTGGAGTGGTGGTGGTAGCACCATCACCCGGGGGGCCAGTGGGGGAGCTGCGGCCCAGACTGCTGCCACCCTCACCACCTAGCTCGTCCAGGTGGATGGGCTCAACCAACACTGCAGAAAACTTCCTGTCACCAAAGGAGATGCTCATCTTGGCCTCAAAGAAGCGCTGCAGTTCAATGATGGACTGGACGTCTTCTTTGTCCTAGGAGAAGGAGCACAGTATAGCCCGGTAAGAACTCTGGCCAAGGACCAGCCCCCCTGAGACATTCCCCAAGACCCACCACACACCAAAGAGCTAAGACATCTAACACAACAGTTCCCACCTTCTTACAGCAAAGCCAGGATACACCACCCTCCTCCTTTGCCTAGCCTCACTCACAAGGCAATCAAGACAGGCACCCCACCCAGAGCTGAACGGTCCCTTGTGTCTGAAAAACCTTTCCCTGATCCCAGCACAGCTGGAACCAGGCTGCATCCTCTCCTCCCTCCCCGCCTGGAGTTGCCCTTGCACACCCTTTCTGCACAGTAGGGAAGGAGTGAGGGCAAAGCTGGACACGTCTTCCCCACCAGCAGTGTGGGGGACAGTGGGAGATGGGCCCTGCCCTCACCTCCGTCAGCTTGTTGAACTGCTTGATCATCCTCCAAACATCTTCAGCAAACTCCTCAGGGGAGCGGTAAGGTGGAGATAGCTTCTCCTGCAGCTTGGCCCGGATCAAGGTCAGGTCAATGGTGTTCTGACCCTCCTGAGAGGAAAAGTAGCCAGGGACAGCATCAGCATCAGGCCCCAGATACATCCCAAAGCTCCCACATCTCAGCCAAGACACCCTTGGCACCAGAAACCTTGCCCCCAGCTTATCAGGACCTGTCCAACCCCCTGCAGAGAACAAATGGGGGAAAAAGGCCACAAGACTTCAGCTACCCACAGGGAGAGAACAGGCACCCAGCCTGTTCATCACACCCAGGAGCCTATTCACCCCATTCCTGCAAAGAGCTGGGACATAGGGCCCTGTCACCCATAGAGAAAACACAACAGCTGCAGCTGCAAGGGCTTTTTTACTTCAGAGTTACAGTCTCCTTGGAGTTACTTACTCCATAGAGCCCAAAGCAGGTGCCCACCCTGACAAGGCTTCTACATGCCACACACAAAAACAACCACATTTGTGGTCACTCCCATCTCATCCAACCCATGCACAGCTCTGCTGTGGTGCATGTGCCACTCAAGGACTCACTGTGGAGTTGCAGAGTTGATGAAGAGGCCGGCAGGGCTCATGGCACAGCAACTCCAGCAGGACACGCTCACACTTCTGCCAAGTCAAGAAAGATGCAGCAGGGTCAGAGTATGAAGGAGAGATCTTGGCAGCCTCCCATCCTCCCCAGGCAGGAGACATCTCATTTGGCACCCAAGATGCCAAGCTGGCACCAGCCAGAACCAGCTGGTTGGGCACTTCTCCATCCACCCATAAGGCCAGGAAGAA